ACCTACCTAAATCACAATGTTTACAAAAAATCAAGGCCAACTTAGTGACTTTTTCAACTGAACACCCGATATTAATACTACTGCTAAATTGTAACACTAGGATTTCCAATTTGTTATTTAGGAATTCATCGCTTTCATAGCAAAGATGATTTCATATTGTTTCTAAAATAATAATTGTTGTTATAAGAAAATCTTGGACGTCATTTATCTGTTATTTTGAAATTTTTGATGTAGTCTATACCTACTTGTCACTTTGACATTTGAAGTTGAAAATTTTTATAACGTCACATCCAGTGTCATCAATTCCTCATGCCCGCAGTGTCAGAACTGACAAAACTAAGAAGATGAGGTTACAATACTGAAAGATGTTTTACACTTTGTGACACTGACTAATATAAATACAAAATTTCACAAAAAATCCGTCCAGTACTTTCGGAGATTATCTGTCTAATAAAAATCCGGGATGGCAGACAGACGGACAGACGAACAGACAGACGGAAACGGGAAACCTATTTCTTCGTCTTCTAGGGGTCATGAAAGGTCGAGAAAATGTAAAAGTAGAGAATCGGCCGACGGACGCGATTACAATACTCCTTTGCTTACGCTCGGGAAGTATAAACTAAGTTTCTTTTTTATTTCATTAAATTATCTGGATAAATATTGATTTATTTAAAAAACATCTCCATTTTTACTTCCCCACCGTAAGCAAAGGAAGTATTGTAATTGAGTCCTTCGACCGATTTTCTACTTTTACGTTTTTTTCATGACCCCTAGACGAGGAGAAAGGTCTCCCGTTTCCGTCTATCTGTCGGTCTGTCCGTCTGTCTGCCGTCCCGGATTTTTATTAGACAGATAATCTCTGAAAGTACTGGACCCATTTTTTGTGAAATTTTATATTTATATTAGGAATATCATGTAGATGGTAAAACGCTAACCAAAATTTGTCTTATCATCCCCACCAATAATGTGATGACGTCACTTTAAAATTGTACATAGTAAATGGGTTTTAAATTGTATAAAATAACGTAGTCGTACACCTGTAGTTTATGACTCTGTGTTGAATATTCACCCGAAATGTCCAGATTTTTGGAAAAAAAATCAAAATTATAAAACAACATTTTACAATTTAATTTTGAATCTGCAAAACCGAATGTTTTGAAATCTTGCAGATGTTTTAAAGTTATCATAAGCTTGGTAAATTTTTGATCAAAATGTATTTGCTCATCCCCTCTAAAAAATTGAAGATGTCACCTCCAAATTTTGCTGAACAAATCCTATCTTAAATGTGCAAAGTATGATGAGTCTATACTTGTGATTTATTACTGCATTAATATTTTTTAGATTAGCTTATACGGGGTGTCTGAAAAAAATTAATGACTGAGTCAATTTATTTTATGAACTAAATCAAGAATTGAAAAACTGAATACTTTGAAATCGTGACGTTTTGAAGTTATTGTAATAAATGCATAGATAATGCCAAGGTGGTTGGCGAAACGCGCGACAAATATATTGTGTGTTTTCGGTGTTGTGGAACGCTTTATAAAGCACAAAATGTTCGCAAAATTATAAAATTTAACTTTTGTGTTTTCTCGACATTTTCTGGCCCATGGAGAATGAAAAATTAGGTCTCGTGGTTCAGTCTGTGTACCGTCTGTTCAGATTTTTATTAGGCAGCTAATCTCCAAAACTACCGGACCGATTGTATTAAATATGTATGTTAAGAATATCGTGTAGATGGTAAACCTCTAACCAAAATTTTCCCAATCAATGTCATGACATATCAAAAATGTTTATAATAAATTTTATAAAATGGGATACTCTTGTATTTGTTTTATCGACTACAAATTCGCAAAATCAAATTTTTTAATTTTTCCAAGAAGCGAGATTTGTGGCACTGCATTCGGGGGCGAGAGAAGTCCTGTCAAAATAACTTTCGACCAGTTTTTTAAAAGTTGGTGTAGGTGAAATACTTGTTTTAAGTCAAGCCAAAATGTTTATTCCTTTTACTTTTTTTTTTTTGTAAAATAACAAATAAAAACAATTTCTTTTGTAAACCGGATAAACTAAGTATTTTTAGTGACGTAAAATACTCTTCAATCTTCCTTGTACCCTATGCTCGCTATTATTCTTACTGAAAAGCGTCGAATTCGACACGCAACCCAAAATACATTTTTAAATACGTTATCTATCTTAGAAAAAGTGTTTATTTCATTTTTTAAATTACAGTTCTGTTACATCAAAAAAATGACAGACTTCATAGGACCAACGAATTGATGAATGCAACTGACCGGTACATAGTTTAAATTTACACAATACAACTGTAGGTTGTCGGTTGTATGTGCCACTTGTATTTTGCAGAAATAATGCAGTGTTGGTGTACTAATTTATTAACACCAAATTACTATTGTCTGTGAAGAACAATATATATTGCATCCATCTTAGGGCGTATTTTTTAATGAAAAATGATTTATTTTTTTTGTGACGACCTAATGATTTTTGCAATTAACCAAAACGCTGCAAGGTTAAATAAATTATTTCTTACACAATCAATAAAATAAATTGGTTCATACACACTTTCTTGTGCAGGAAATCTAATATTATTAAAACACAAGAGGCATTGCATCCCAGAAAGCATACATTCAAAACAAATTTTTTAACAATTTTTTGAAAGGACGGATCTTCCAAAGTGAGCTAATGTTGTTGTAATCCTTTTATTTTTTGACTCCTGGGGCCTGTTGCACAATACTTACAAGTCTAATAATATTAGTCTTGTGAATTGTAATTTGTGTATATTTATTGCATAAATTACAAATTACAAACTAATATTATTAGACTTATAAGTATTGTGCAACAGACCCCTGTTTATTTTTTTAGTATTCTTAATATGCTTGGTTTAAAAGATTTTGTTTAACCAAACTATATTAAGTTAGTGCCCAGAACCTTTCCAAAATTCGTATGAATATTTTGAGAACAGTAAGTTTGGATTAATGAAGTACAAAATAACGCCACAAAACTTGACGAACGTAAATAAAAACATAATTCTAGAGTATAACCCATCATACGAGAGTGATTCTCTCCAAAACCTTTGTAATTTAGTTTCTCTTTTTTTTTTTAATATCACAGATAGTTTTGACAGTTTCAACAATTTGTATATTTCCGAAATTTTGGGCCGAATTTTTTCCGTTTGTGTTTGGCACCTCGCACTGTATTTGTCCCGTAATATCAAAAATAATGGCGTCTGGCGTTCCTATTCTGCGAATTCAGACAGTGAAGTTTATAAATCGTAATTTCAGTACTGTTTGAATTATCCGTCAACATTCAAGTCTGGAAAACGTGCAATCTAAATATAACTTCCTGTAATTCACGTTGTATTACGCTTAATTGAAACAAATCAGGGTTGCGGCCGGATAAAATAAACATAATTGAAAGGTTTTCCTGTTTTCCACTTTTCGCAACGCTGGTGAAGAGGGTTTATGTGCCAATCAGAGTCCATTATTCGAGACGGTGGGGGGTCGCAGTAACGAGCACAAACACTCAAATGATATGTTAATTGCTGTATAACTAGAGGGTAAACTACCCCGTATTGGGGATGATGCCCCGGGATGCATAACCGGACTTGTTATACGACTGCAAAGGCACGTTCACGAATAACATGAATTGAAAACAACGCAATTTGCATGAAAATTCGAAAAGACAAGAAGCTGAGGTTTAGTGCGCAGTCACGATTTATGAATACATTTAGTTTGGCTGGAATGTTGTCAAAATATTCTTGTTTTCCACGAAATAATATTTTTCTATTTACTTACATTATAAAAATTCATAGTGGAGCCACTTTTCTAGGGGGTGTGGTAAGAATTTGTGCTGCTGGTTATTTTCGGTAGAGTAAGCAGTGTTGTTCAATTCAGTGATTACTCCAAAAAAATGACAAAATACCCTTAAGTAACATCTTCACACAAGATGCAACTTTTTTGCATGTGAGAATCTGAAGAAACTGTATAAGATTTATATTTCAAAGCTCCACCAACACCGCGAATTTCAGAATTTAAATTACGCTTGGTACCTACTTTTTCATTTCGTTAATAGTTATTTACATTTAATTACTTTTAACTATTAGTATACCATTTTTTCGCAAAGTTTTCGATCTTCTAATTATAAATTAATTAAAGTAATTATAAAGTAATATATTTATAATAATCTTGTCGTATTTAATACACTTCTTTTAATGTATAGAATTATTAGCTTAATTAATTTTGAAAATTTTGTCTGCAAAGTTAGGTAGGAAGTAACCTACGGAGAAAAAATTATACTTGTTTTAAACAATAATTCATTAACCAGATAATTACTTATTGTTAGCTTACGTTTCTAAATGCTGTAAAACTTCTTGATTGATGCAGATGTGATTTATAGGTTTATTAAAACACTAAATAGGAAAATCTGATACGCTATAATGTAAACGTATTGTAAAGGATGCTATTATTTATACCACACAATTTTAATTATTTTGTGAAAAAATCATGTAAGTTCGAAGAGGAATATAAAAACAATCATCGGGGATGGTGGTTTGAAAATTTGTTTAATTTTATCGGAAACAGCATTTTTGTTATATATTTTATATTAGTAAATTTCTAAGCACTTTAGAAATTCTAGAAATATGCTCTTTACTTTCAAATCTGGATGGAGTCTACATTATCCATCTTACTTTTTAGTTGTTCCGATGATGCTAAATCTGCATTGTCTTTTTTTACTGTTACATTAGAAAATGAAACAAAGCTTAAACTACGTGTAAGCTAAATGCTAAAGTATTGTATAATTCTAAGATTTAATAATAACTGCAATGTTAATGAAAGCTTTATATAGCTACTCCCACTGACGGAATAATCCGCATCGTATTTTGCCAGCAGATTGTGAACGAACCACACCAAAGCATGATGGATGTAATAGTCTCGTTAGGGGTCTAATTTCTGCAAATTGAAACTGCGATCATGTCGCGCTGTCACAAATTACGGCCAATCAAGTCTACATTTGTGTAGGAAATGGCAGTGATTTCCATCCTTCTCACCCTAAAGCAAACCTACCAACACCACAGAATACAAAAGGCTTCTATAAACGTCAACTAATTTAGGCCTAATCCCTCTAATCATCACTTATTGTGGCTATAGGTTTTTGTGTACGTTGTGAGTGTATAATTTGGTACATCGATCATCTAATTGCGTAGTATTAATCAGTTCAAAATTCAGCAAACATTCATCTTTTCAGTTGTGTATTTCTAAGCTAGTTTTACGATAAAATAAAAATTGTTTTAGAAAATTTGAACAAAATAAGATTATTTATATTTAAAATATTCTTTTAAAACCATATAGTTATTTTAGTCGTCAAGAAATGGACACTCCACACCCATCAAGGAATATAAAATGGGTTGAAGTAAAGCTTAGAATAATAAATTCTGAGAAGATCAGCTAAGCAATATAATTTCCTTGATATATTTTTGTTTACCATTCATGGCCGATCTCATAAAATATAGAAAACATCATCAAAGATGTCAAATTGTACTGGAACGGAATAATTTTTAGAAATTTAATTAAATTTTAAGAAGTTTTTCTCGTTGACATTGCCATTTCTATAGAAACATGTTTAAATAAAAACTGAGGTAGGTATTGTTAAATTCTAATAAAACTGCAGTTTTAATCTCAATATTTACAGTTTTACCTTACCTTAGTATTCTGACCAGCAGGTACTAGGAAGTAAGTAAGTACACAAGTTATCAGTCGTAAATATCTGCCATAAATTTGTACTATTTGTACAAATGAAAATCTGAATCTACTAAAACGTAGATTTTTGTATCTATAATTGTGTTTTGAATTATCAAAAACTTTGCATAATTTTGTCACAGTGTATTATTAAAATAGTATATTGTTTTATTAGGAGTTAAAGTGTTACTTTACAAAAGGTACTTTTACTCCGAATAAAACCTACTATTTTTTCTTCAAACGTTTCAATGAAGTTAAAATGTAACACATTTCTTTTTACATAATCTCACTATTCCTTGTATCACTACATCATACCACCACACAACCCGACAATCAGGAAGTACACACCATGAACACTGTTTGCAATCACTTTTACCATACATATTTAAATCGCTTTATGCAGAAAGGGGTTAAGTCATGTTTTTCCATATATTTTTTTGCTAAGAAGGGAAATGTTAAATATTTAAAACAGATATTTGCTTAGCCGATTTATACGGCTTCACCAACTGTAATCAGCAAAATGTGTAAATAGCCCCTAAACCAAGTTTTAGGTTTTTTTTTTTGGTTACCTAAAACCTAGTTTTATCACTTATGTCCTTTTTCCATAAATCGATTCATTTGCTTTTAACATAACTGTCAGCATTTACCAGGTACGCGTGATAATCTCGCTTTATAGATAGCAGAAAAAAAGGCGGTAGAAAATAGTAATTATTAGTCAAGGTTGCAAAGCCAAGCATTCTAGACCGGGCGCAAATTAGAACCCGAAACGCGCAGCGTCGAGGGCTCTAAAGCGCGAGGTCTAGAAGTGGCTTTACAACCGTGGTTAATATACTATTTTTTTCACTAATAGAGACCACAAGACATTAAATTGAAAAAATAAGCGTTCAATTTTTTGACGCAACATGATTTTGTTTTGATTTCTAATCAAATTTAATCTAAATCTTCAACACAAAGAAAAACGTTTACACTTGTCCCTGAATTAATCATTTTATCTTCCACGATCTACCAACTACCATGCGTATACTCAAGTAATGTTTGTAGCACACATTTATTCATTTTTTAAGAAATAATCACATCAAGTATTTCGTACATAACCTCTATCTTCTTTTTGAACCTTGGTTGCAAAAGTTGAACTTTGCTACCTCTAAATAAGTCGACATTTGCATACTTCATGGCTGCTAGTGAAAAAAGTATTTTTGTAGATATGGCATTGAAATTCGTCTTTTAATATGTGTATGATGGATTGATGGTATACAAAGGTCCGATTTTCTGACGTTTAAAGAAAAAATATGTTTATTATGGAATTCTTAGACATTACTCGCATTATTGACTTTTTATATACCTACCAAGAAAGCAATAAAACACACGATCAAAGATAGTCATGGATTTTTGACTTTGATAGAATTTTCGTCATACCAGATTAGTGTCAATTTGAAAACTTGAGTTGAAAATGAAACCATCAAGGAAAAACTTTCAAAAATTCATGGCTGTTTTTGATCGTGTTTTTTATTGCTAGTTGCGATTCCTATGATTAAAGTGGAACATTATAAAGTGTGAGTTCACACTCTATCTAAAAAGATTGATTTTAAGGCATTTGGTGTGTGGTGTGACATTAATTCGATGATTTGAAGTGCAGATAAAACTGAATTATGTACTTTGTAGTCGGTTTTTTAGTAAAACTAATTTTTAATCTTCGAACGAGCGGTTTTATTAAAATTCTGTTTAGATGCCGTCGTGTCCCGTACTGCTTCCTCCTCACTGCTGCCATCTAGTTGTAGCGCCAAATTTGAAATTTCAAATGTAGGTGACCACAATTCGGCCAATCCTGACATTATGATCGTCCCGATCATATACACAAAGTAAAACATAAGGTACATAACATAATAAGTGACAGAAAACATAAGGTGCTTAAACTTCAGTCACACAAACATCATAAGTTACACAAAGTAAAACATAAGGTACGTAACATAATAAGTGACAGAAAACATAAGGTGCTTAAAACTTCAGTCACACAAACATCATAAGTTAGTGAAACATAAAATGTTAAAAACATAAGTCACATAAATCCAATACATAATATAACGCCTAAATAACATAATGATAAGACGCACATAAGTATCTAAAGTACATAAATCACATAAGTAATTAGGACATATAAAAATCATAAGGGTATTAGAGATGAATTAGAAAACCCAATCGCTTAAAAGACGGCTTAAAAGACGAACATGTTAGCGTCAAAACTAGAACGAGGTGGAAACAAAACTTAGAAACACAACATTATGAAATAATGAACAAATGAAACTAATCTCTTTGTAACTTATTGAAGCCAAAGCTTCATATTCTCAGGACAACATACTCCCTCAAATGGGATTTGCGTTACTTGGAAACCTTCAACGTCTGTAATCCAATAACGATCATTGCCTAATGACTTCTTGATTTCGTAGGGACCACGATACCTAGGTAAAAGTTTTTTATTAATACCTGGTGTAACATCTATGTTTTTTATCATCACATAATCACCGACATTGTACGGTTTAGGAGGTCTATGTTTTTGGTCATACATGCGCTTATTGTATGCTTGTAACTTTTCATTCTGAGACTGAGCCTTTTCTCGAACCTCGGCTAAGTCATCTTCTTTTTCAGCTTCAGCGCCCAATGAATTTCTTAAAGGATCGCTAGGATCGTTTTGACTAATACCGAACAATAAAACGGATGGAGAATTACCAGTGGATCTACAAAACGAATTGTTAATAGCAAATTCAACTGTTCCCAAAGCTTTCTCCCACTTGTTTGTTAAAATAGCCAATTTTGACAACATTGGTGTTAAGTCTCGATTGATTCTTTCGATCTGACCGTTTGATTTTGGTGACCCCGTCGCGACTTTAATATGCTGAATCATATGTTCTTGAACAAACTTTTCGAACTCATTAGAGGTAAAACAGGATCCCCGATCGGATACAATACGTAATGGTACACTATAGTGCCTAAAATAATTTTCTAACTGATTGATTACTTCACAAGTTTTGGTGCTCTTGACTGCATACAGTTTTACGAATTTAGTGAAACAATCAATGATCTCAAAAATATATCTTTTACCTGTCGAAGTTTTTTCTAATGGGCCATAATGGTCAATATGTATGGTGACAAAGGGTTTATTTCCCTTAGGGATATTGTGTAACTCACTCGGCACAGCGCCACCAATTGGTGAAAAGGTGATACATTTCAAACAATTTCGAACATGATTTTTCACTTTTTCTTTAATACTAGGAAACCAATAGCTGCGTTTTAGATACTCCATAGTTTTGTCCACGCCAACGTGACCGAAATTATCATGACACATAGTTAAGATCTGACTTTCCATCAACGAAGGAACGTAAAATAAAAGTTTTCCTTTGCTCTTTCTATACACTAGTCCATTCCTAAGTTCAAATTTTGTACTTTCGCGGATTTCGAGTTCAGACTTAACCTTTTGAATACTCGAATCTAAATTTTGAGAAATAGCTAAATTTTGTTCCAGTGTATTTTCCTCTAGTACTAAAATATTGTTGGCTCGACTTAAAGCATCAACATGGATCATCCGTGTTCCTGGACGATGTTGCAATTCGTAGTCATAATTTTGTAAGAATAGTGCCCACCTAGAAATTCGAACATTAATATTTTTTTTATTCAGAGTAAGCCTAAAACTATCACAGTCTGTGACAATCGTAAAATGTATACCGAAGAGATATATATGAAATCGTTTAATAGCATAAATAGCGGCTAAACATTCCAATTCAAAGCTGTGATATTTAGATTCGGTTTCGGTCGTCCTACGACTAAAATAAAAAACAGGATGAAACTTTCCCGACGACTGTTTTTGAAGTAAAATAGCTCCAAACCCAGATGTGCATGCATCGCAGTGCAACTCTGTTTGGGTATGCGGATCATACACAGCTAAAAGAGGATAAGAAGCTAATTGATTTTTTACTTGTTCAAATGATTCAAGTTCTTTTTCACCAAACCGAAACTCAACATTCTTTTTTAACAAGTCATATAAAGGTTTTGTAAGGACGGAAAACCCATTTATAAATTTTCGAAAATAACTAGCAATACCAACAAACCTATGAACTTCCTTAGCATTTGTAGGAATTGGATACTGCAAAATTGCTTCGACATTTTTCGGATCAGGTTTGATGCCATCATTGTTTACTAGATATCCTAAATAAGAAATTTCAAACATAAGAAAAGCACATTTATCAATTCGAAAAAGCAAATTGTGTTGGGAGGCTGCACCAAATACTTCTTTCAAAATATCTAAATGTTCTTCGTAACTGTTGGTCGCTATTAGAATATCGTCTAAGTACAAAATAATTTTGTTTGCTCGAATTAATTTATTGAAAACTAAATTAATAAATCTGTTAAAAACTCTTGGGGCATTAGTTAACCCAAAAGGCATTCTAAGATATTCAAATTGCCCTAAAGGTGTGATAAAACTAGTAAATTTAATCGACGATTCTGCTACACGAACATGATGGAAACCATCCTTAAGATCAAGGGTCGTAAAATATCTTTTGTTTCGAAGTCGATCCAGATTGTCTTCTATCAAAGGAGTAGGAAAGTTGTCTTTAATAGTAATTTTGTTTAATTCGCGATAATCAACGCAAAGCCTTAAGTCACCTGTCTTTTTTCTTACCAGTACAATTGGACTACAGTAATCAGAGCTACTAGGTCTAATAATGCCTCGTTCTAATAGATCATCTAACATGTTTTGTAATTTTTCTTTTTCAGAAAAGGATAAACGCCGTGGTCTAAAAGAGATTGGTTGATTATTCTTAACACAAATGTTCATTTCGTAATTACAATCAATCTTTGGCGAGTCATTACATAAATAAAAATTATCATACACTTCCAAAACTTCCACTTTTTTATCATAATCTAAACAAGGATTGATCTGTACTTCTTTGTTACTTTTTATTTCTTCACCTACCTTAAAATCGACATGTAAAATTTCGTCAAAGTTATTTACTTTCTCAAATTCGTTTGAAATAATTTTTAAATGATCTCCTAACGTAAACGTGAAACCCTTGGTATTGAGAAAATCTCTACCTAATATAGCGTTAAAGGACATGGTGCTATTAGGAACTACATAGAATTTTATGGGTAAAACAGTTTCATTAACAAATACTTCCGTGTTAAAAATACCCAAAATATCAAGCTTCGATCCATTCACACCCACGAAATTTAAATTTGGATTTAGACCTTCATTGAAATTATTTTCGGTGACATACCGAACTTTTACAACTGAAATTGGGCTACCTGTATCGATTAATGAATTCAATTTATAGCTACATTCGGTTTGACAATCATCTTTAACATTAATCTTAACGTTTACCATATAGGGATCTTGTGTCTCGGTTGATTTCACATTGGTGGTGTTGTCTTCCTTTTTCTTCCCTGGACAATTCCTTTTCTGATGTTCCTTTGAACCGCAATTGTAACAGGAACCCTTTTCCCTCACCGGAATTGGACAATTTGAGGCGAAATGGCCCACACCATTACAATTATAGCATCTTCTAATTATGTTCTGATTTGGAGGGGGTTTACTACTGCCCTTCGCTCCTACAGACCCCGGAGAATAAGTTCCTTTGTTTTCGTTATGCTTTCGGAAACGTTGACCAACAGATTGAGTCGAAGGTGTACGGGTCTTTCTAATCTTCTCATAAACTTCAATTTTTTTCTTTAAGTCGACATAAGTTTTAGCTTCATACAACAAAAATTTGTGTTCAGGATCATCATTGATACCTTGAATGACATATTCGATTACTGACTCCTCTTCAATTTGACCCTTTGAAGCGAGTTCACGCATCTTCAACAAGTATTCCTGGAGAGATTCTTCTTTTTTCATTTTTCTATTATTCAGCATGCGGTGCAGTTCAGCAGTGCTCACCTTCTTGGAAAATTCACTCAATAACCTGCGTTTCAAGTCCTTCCATGTACCCAAATTCCTCTGACTTTGGATAAATAACTTAGCAAGCCCAGTTAATGATTTCTTCGCAAAAACTAGTCGTTGCAGTTCTGACCACTTCATAAGTTTAGCGATGTCTTCAAAGTCTGCGACCCAAGTCTCGATTGCATAATTGTCATCACCACTAAAAGTGCGTACGGAATCTTCGATGTCTCTGAAAGACATGGTGAACGTAGGGACTGCTGCCGCGCCTGCTCGACCATCATCACTGTCTACCGGATCATCTTCGTCGTCCTCGTCTTCACTCTCTTGTTCTTGAACAACTCTTTCTTGTGTAAACAGATCAAAATCAGTCAACACTGAACAAATTCTCTCGGCCACTTCTTGGTGAGTACCTGCACAATTCAACCCCAGTAGAAGGCCGACTCCACAAAGTTCTGCGATCGTAAAATTCTGCACTACCTCATCCACTTTCTCACTGAAGTCATCTGATGCGATCTCAAAAGGGAAACCCGTCCATTGATACAGCTTCTTTTTGTTCAACCGACTACCGTCGTCAAAGGCAAGGTCGTATAGCGTACGTACCGATGCATAAGGACCATTCTTAATAGCGTCGTCACACAACTCCACTTCTTGGAGGGTTCTTGCCATCTTCTCCTTTTATGAAAACGTGATGAGTTGACATAACCTCACATTTCCCACGTGCTTGACTCTTCTACCATTTATCCGTGTAACTATTCCATGAATCAGCACTTCACAAACACAAATCGGACATTGGTCATTCCGATGTTAAGGTCGTTCATCCCACACCTGAAATTGTAGTCGGTTTTTTAGTAAAACTAATTTTTAATCTTCGAACGAGCGGTTTTATTAAAATTCTGTTTAGATGCCGTCGTGTCCCGTACTGCTTCCTCCTCACTGCTGCCATCTAGTTGTAGCGCCAAATTTGAAATTTCAAATGTAGGTGACCACAACTTAAATTATGTACTTATTATTTCAAATTCCAGGGCGTGAGCGCGGGAGTGGTTTTTAAGGTCTATCCGGCGAATGGCTTATTTGTTTTCGGTACGTTTCGTGACCTCTACAGTATGAAAACATTGGTCTCCCGTTTCCCTCTATCTGTCTGGCGTCTGTCGTCTATCGTCTGTTGTCTGTCGTTTGTGTCGATATTTATTAAATATATAATCTCAGAAACTACTGGAATCATTGTTCTCAAACTTTACTTACCTATATTATACGATGGTTAAACGATAACCAAAATTTGCCTAGTCATCCCCATCAACAATTCTGCACAGTAAATGTTATTTAAAGTATATAACATTACATACTCTTATACCTGTGATTTATCAATACATTCATTCCTTTATCCACCTATCCAAATTGGTATACGTCTCGTCGTTAAAAAGTGATGATCTCATCACCGTTTTTTTAATGAACAAACTCACTTAAACATACACATAGCATGCTTCTTTACCTTTGCTTTAACACTACACACATATCTTTATTTTTACTTATAGGAATATATTCGCAAAATAAAATTGTACTCCTATAATAATTTTTCGAAAAGGTAAATGTGTTTTTCTGTTTTAATTTTTAAATAAAATATTGTTTCGCGACCAAAATAAACATCACATTAAACAAACAAACAAAAACGTAATTAACCTCACTAATAACTAAATTAAATTTGGATACAACCTTAGTTTGGTTTTTAAGAAGAATTGTATTCTATTTTTGAAAAGTATTGGTAATTATAACGTCTACATGAATATACATATAAACACCTAACTTAGCACTCTTGGGAGCTTATTTTATATTATTTTCAGACTTCGGCATTGCGGAAGTGATGCTCATTGCCGTCCAATTGCCAGCGCTATTGCAGTCGTGGCCTACAACTTCGGGAATTCTTAATAACAATGACCAAGTTCTCCTAGATGTTAAAATGCTTTAAAAATTAAAAATAACCGTTCAACATCACAATTTTCGTGATGATCTTGATCAGATAAACCCTGAATTGCATCAAACGCCACTGAGGTTGAGATTGCACAGTCGGCCAGCCAAATTTATCGCCTGACGTCGCGCCGTCGTTTTTAATATATGTCTGATTGATTCCCCATCACTTCGGCTGTGAAGGGTGAAAGTTCGAACTTTTCCTTAAATGACTGTTTTTGCAACAAATTTTACAAATATTTTGTAAAATAAACTAGTAGGGAGTATTTTTCTTACATTCAACATCATATTTTTATATTTATGCTTTACATACCTAAGTATTTTATATCATTTTAATAATAATTTCATCATTTACCAAAATCCGTTAAAAAATTTTTCGCTACAATTTAAAAAAACATGGTTTGGCATCACGACGTCGACACCATATATGTGTCATATTTGCAGTGTACTAAATTAAACTTTACCCTTTAAGCTAAAAACAATGACGTTTTAATTTCAATATGTGTTCTCAAAATATTAGGTCACGAAATTTTATTTAGGACATCTGCATATTAAGCTATTAGGAATGTAATACCACACCAGTAAATATTAAAAAAAAGAGTGTCTACTTGTGAATCCTTAAAATCCGTTTAATACCAAAACATTTTATGTACATGCCATATCTATCCTTCACAATTTCTCTTTTTTACTTTTATTGCATCAGATTTGTAATAGTTTTGATTTGTTATTTGCTTTTATTTTGTCAGTCTTAACCCCAGAGTTAACCCTAAAATGCAGTTAGACACAGATCCGATTTCGAAACTTCGAAACCTCTCAATATCACGGATCTACAAAAATATAAAAGGTTCCATTGGGACATGTTTTATTACTGTTGTTATACGGTTTATTTATAATTATGTGACGAATCTACAAAGGTATTTTTTAACTTTCACAAATAATAACGTATTGTTATATTGTCGTTAATTTTTATTTGTGTGGTAAAGAAGCTAATTCGCGTAAAATAATAATCGTCGAAGGTAAGGCGTTTGCTTTAGTCGTGGATAACGAGCAGAAGTGATGCAGGACAATAGACGGGTGCCAGGACACAAGAAGTCAAGTGGCTGCACGGGCCCATTAAAAAGAATCGTCCATAGGGATCACACATAATGGTCTCTGCTGGTTGAAGGGTCATTAAAGCAGTCAGTATGGAGTTCCATTCACCGCATCTCCACTTCCTATTATAAGAATTCCGCTTACTGTTGATTGTTGTTCAATAGCAATTGGTTTTGTTAATGTTGCCGGTACGCTCAACATAAAAAATTTAAAGCTAACACTCAGTAACGATGTGCTTTCAGCTGGAACGCACTGAAAGTTTGTTTTATTCGTTAGTAATGGAAGACTTGGGGAGAGGAATGTTACCAAATTAGAGATAATTGGGTGGAAAGAGCCCAATTTGTAGATGTGCTAATTTGGTGGTGTTTGTATATTGCTATTATTCTTTTGTGTGTGGAGTAAGGGGTGCCGATTCTCGGCAAATTGAGTGGAAATAATAGGATTTATGCTATTATAACCGTTTTGTGGATTATTTATTTCAAATTTGATTTCCTTCATTGTGAACACTTGTGATGTTTTATTCCAATGTTATTATGAAATCCTCCCATTCATCTAATACTTGAAGGAGATCGTAGTTTGGCATGAAATTTTAGATACCAGATGCTAGACAGAACGTGAAATCAACAAAAAAACGTTGTCAAATCTTGGCATTTGACTAACAAATTGTCTTTCATATCTGGCGTACGTAAAAAGTGCTCGAAATAAAACCCGTTGTAAAAATATCTCCTTTTATTACATTTTTAAGATTTTTGTGTTTAACAATAAATAAAAACGTGCACATACAAAGGTACATCGTAAAACAAAATATAACATTGTAATATGAACAGGTTCAGCAATATACAGTATGCAACTACCATCTTAATATTTACACTTGACAATGGCAATGTTAATAATAGTGATAATAAAAATATATTTACATCAGTAACAATGGTACTACAATAATAACAACCATAAAAAGATGAAAATTTGTTGATGAAAAGTTCTACTCGCTTGAACAATCAAAACATAAATTACAAGTATGCACGTCTATAATAAAATCTTAGTCGTAGTCGTACAAAGTGTACAACTTGAGAATGTAGTCAGTTCTTGCTTATGTGAATTGCGGTGTTCGCCTTTCGCAACCTTGTGAGAAACAAGTACTAGTCTATTTTTGTTCTATATTATTCTAATTTTACTTACCTATTATATCACAAAAATTTATAAATTATGTACAGAAAAAAAAACTCAATAACATTACAGTTGGCAGCCATGTACATATGTGACATTATGAAAAATGGCGGCAGCTGCTGTTGTCAAAAAACTACAAGGAGATTGTGCCCCATAGCGTGGTATTACTGCTGGCTGACAACAAGGTGTGTTATCTCCTGCAGGATTAGTCAGATTTCCTGCATTCATTAGTTCCTTTTCAACTGAAGCTTGGTGTCTTAATTGTTCTAATCGTAGTTGATTTTGTCTCTTCCACTTAGTCCTGTGAATAATTGTTGAATGATGTTAGTGTGACAAACATCAATTACAGTAATCAGTTTATGAAAATGACGTGTCAAAGTGAACACAGGAAAATCTAAATGTAAAATAATTATTTGTATACACAGAAAACTTCAGTGAATTGGATCAGTTCCAAAACATTTACTTATTTTGGAATATCAGTAATCAATGATCATAGTTTATATAGTACCAGTTTTTTTATAAAGTGTTCATTTTTTACTATTTATGAAAAACTAATGTATTCTTTATTCACAGCTTATAAATAACTCAGTGTATAGACCTCGAACAAACCAATTACGGTCGAGTTTTCTATAAATGCTTAAAGTCGTCTCATGGTCGTCTGGTAAGTTCTAAGGTCAACTAATATTAATAAACTCTTTATAAAACGGAAGCAAATGAACTCATTTAAATTAATCATTTTACCTTCTGTTTTGATACCACGTCTTAACTTGCGTTTCGGACAAGTTCAGAGCATCAGCAACATCGCTGCGGTCAGCCACCGATAAATATTTCTGACATCGAAATTTTCTCTCCAAATATGCGAGCTGCGCATGAGTGAAAGCCGTCCGTCTTCGGCGTGGTTTTCGTCCTTTTGCCGCCTCCGAAGAATTTTCAGTCCCGCCCACCGTCGAGGGGTAGATTCCCCGTTCAGTTTCGCTGTCTAAATGCTCCGAGGATTCGATGTCTTCGGCTGCTAGAAGAAATGTTTCAGGTTGAAAAGATAATTTTTAGAAGGGATTCAAATACATCCAGCTTTGTGTAAAGGGGTAGGAGCACTTAGGTGCTTGTTCTTCTAACAGCCTCCGGCGTAATGGGATACAAAGCAGTTTATTCATTAAAAAGGGAGATAAACAGCTCAAAACGCATATAAGACAACAGGGGTCTAATTGGAGGATCTCTTCGTGGGTTTGCGTAAAATGAGGCTGTGGAGAAGTGGAAGATCGGAGCTTAATTAATGCCAGGGGTTGCATTTCCACTCGGGATCGACTCTCAAAGATTCACTGTGCTGCATGAAAGCAATTAAATTAGAATTAAAAAAAATATTGTGCGACTAATTAACTGGGAGGGACATCTTAGGAGTTATTTTAGAGAAAAAAAAAAATTAAGAGGAAAGTTACGTTTATCTATAAATTTATAAAATAAAGGTAATTATAGGCATCTAATGTAATATACCCTGGTATTAACATTAAAAATATGATTTTATAAAACAAATTTCGCATATTACATCGAAAATTGTTCTACAGTTTTAGATAGAAACTCCTTCACCCCTGAAGTAAGTACATTATTATTCGATCAATATTCGAAAAATAAAAAATAATTTTGCGAATTTTATTTTTTTATTATGATAACCCCTATAGGTTCAAGTAAAGAAATGCATGGACTGTAAGAGTACAGGTAAAGAAGGTATGTAATGGCGTAGCCACGGAGGGCGCAGTCCGCACAGGCACCAACAATATTAAATTTAAAACAGATAAACCAATGGGAAAAAATATTACCAATGCAAGTTTAACTTCGATTGTTTATGTTTATACATCGAAATAACCTGACGATGAACCACGGCGCAAAAACGAAGGCGACTAAAATTGTTAATTAAAAAAATAAAATTTTATTTTGGGTAAGTAGCTAGTATTAAGTATGATAAGTTGTTTTTTATTATTATAAAATACAGATAGGCGCAACATTATTGTATTCTCAAATTTTCGGGAAAATAGGGTGAATTTTTCTTGATTCTTAAAATTTAAATGTTGGTGAAAGGATAGACATATAAACAGACGACAGACAGCACACATACAAGCGACAGACAGACAGTCAGAAACGGGGCACCTATTTTTTCGTACTCTAGGGGTCATGTAACGTCGAGAAAACGTGAAATTAGCCATTTGTTCGATGGACTTTTGACAAAATTTTCTTGCCAGCAAGAATTAAATATTTCTTGCGTTCCACATTTCCGACTGAGCTGTTTAATTCAAACTAAAATTTTCGATGGAGATAACTTTAATCTACAAGTTTTATACTGATATTAGTTATATTTTTGTACTAAATAATTTCTTTTCTACGAATTTGTGTTTTTCATAAATGGATAATCCATACCTATCTGAGCGGCTCGGTGCGTCTCCCCCCTCGACACCCAATGGGTAAAAGAAGGTAACAGATTATATATATATATATATATATGTATGTAATCCCGGAACTTTGGCACGGTCGGCACACTATGGCAACACTGTAGTAGACCAAACTCATAAACTAGTCAGTTTCGCACATAAGGAAAATACGGCATAGTTCAGCCCCTCGACGATAGATGGCCAAACAAAATTTAATTATATTTAAAAGGCACTTTGGCATTTATATTTAAAATGTTATAATTAATAAAGTTTGCGGTAAGTTTCAACAAAATTGTAAATCCAAAAAACAAAAGGATTTGTGTTACGTATAAGAATATTCTAAGTACGTCACCCTTAGAATTACTTTTTTAAAAAATAAAACATTTCGACACAATTGTTTGTATCTGGAAATTCAAAGTGGTTTTAGATGTTCCAATAGCCCAAGTCAAGCGGAAATTGAAACCTTTAACAAATAGAAAATACTAGGGAAGTAAAGGCATTATTTGTTGTCTTTATTTCGCATTTTGCTAACAGTGACCGGGACTAAAGTGTGTGCCAAACTACCTGTTGTATGCGTTCGGTACGCATTTAACAGGGAGTTTCGCATGACATTTATTTTCCCCCAAAATTTTAAATCAAAAAGGAAGTGATTTTTAAGAACAAAACACTCTATGTTACTCATAAGAATATTCTAAGCACGCTGATCATACTGTATTTGCTTAAAAAACTAGGAATTTCTATGGGATAGATTGTATCTGGGTGTGCTAATGGTTTTCGATGTTCCAATAGCCCAATTCAAGCGGGAATTGATATTACCTACAAGATATTCCTAATATAAATACAAAATTTGACAACAATCGGTGGCTCGTAGATTATCTGTATCATAATTCATAAAAATCCGGGACCGCAGACAGATGTACAGACAGACGGCCAGACAGACAGAAACGGGACACCTTCGTACTGTAGGTGTCACGGAAGGTAGAGAAAACGTAAAAGTAGAGAAAACAGCTTTTTTTAGATTTACAGTTTTGTGGAAAAATACAAATCATGCGAAACTGCCTGTTAAATACGTACCGTATGCATGCAACAGGCATTTTGGCACAAACTTATTTACCTGACAGTGTCAGCAAAATGCGAAAATTATGACAATTAATGACGTTTTTAGTTTCCAAGTATGCCACTCTTGCTGAAATTTTAAATTTTCGCTTGAATTGGTCCATTACACCATTAAAAACCTCTAATTAGTTTGTCCAATAAATACGTAAATCCCTGGCAATTTAAGCAAAATGCTAAAGTAGTGAAACTTAATTTTGTTTTTACTTCCCTAATCACTTCTGTTTGCTAAAGATGTCAATTTCCGACTGAGTGGGTCTGTTAGGACATCAGCACCCACTTAACATGTCCAGACACAATTCATAAAGTGGAAATATTCTTTTTTTTTTAAACACATTCTGCAGACTACTTACATTTAACTTGCTCAGAATATTCTTATGCGTAATATGAAGCCTTTTGTTGTTAAAAATCCCTTTTTTTGATGATGAAATATTATAGGAAAAAAAAAACATGCGAAACTGCATGTTAAATACGTACCGTATGCATGCAACAGGCAGTTTAGCACCAAAGATACCTGTCAACGTCATCAAAATACGAAAATTATTCCAATTAATTACACCCTTACTTCCCTAGTATCTCCTGTTTGTTTAAGATGTAAATTACAGTTTGTATTAGGCTATTGAAACATTAATAAACCGATTATTACGTTCAAATACATTACTTACTGCAGAAGTTGCTTGTTTTCGAAAAAATTCAGTAAGTACTGCATTATGCGTACTGTACGCAAGCAGCAACAGTTTGACACACACGCTAAAATTTATCAAAATGTCATAGTCAGCAAAATGAGAAAATTATGACAATTAATGACGTTTTTAATTTCTAAGTATATCACTTTTGCTGAAATTTTAAGTTTTCGCTTGAATTGGACTTTTACACCATTAAAAACCTCTAATTAGTTTGTCCAATAAATACGTAAATCCCTGGCAACTTAAGCAAAATGCGAAAGTAATGAAACTTAATTTTGTTTTTACTTCCCTAATGACTTCTGTTTGCTAAAGATGTCAATTTCCGACTGAGTAGGTCTGTTAGGACATCAGCACCCACTTAACATGTCCAGACACAATTCATAATGTAGAAATATTCTTTTTTTTTAATAACAAAATATAGACTGCATAACACTTACACTTAGCTTGCTCAGAATATTCTCACGCGTAATATAAAGTCTTTTGTTGTTAAAAATCCCTTTTTTTAAAGATGAATTATTTTAGGAAAATATAAAAATCATGCGAAACTGCCTGTTAAATGCGTACCGTATGCATGCAACAGGCAGTTTGGCATCCAAAATACCTGTCAAGGTCATCAAAATACGAAAATTATTACAATTAATTACACCCTTACTTCCCTAGTATCTCCTGTTTGTTTAAGATGTAAACTCCAGTTTGTATTAGGCTTTTGAAACATTAATAAACCGATTATTTCGTTCAGATACATTATTTACTGCAGAAGTTGCTTGTTTTCGAAAAAATTAAGTAAGTACTGCATATTGCGTACTGCACGCAAGCAGCAATATTCTAACCATTTTTGACACACACGTTAAAATCTTTCAAAATATCATAGTCAGCAAAATGCGAAAATTATGACAATTAATGACGTTTTTAGATTCCAAGTATGTCACTCTTGCTGAAATTTTAAATTTTCGCTTGAATTGGACAATTACACCATTAAAAACCTCTAATTAGTTTGTCCTATAAATACGTAAATCCCTAGCAACTTAAGCAAAATGCTGAAGTAGTGAAACTTAATTTTGTTTTTACTTCCCTAATCACTTCTGTTTGCTAAAGATGTCAATTTCCGACTGAGTAGGTCTGTTAGGACATCAGCACCCACTTAACATATCCAGACACAATTCATAATGTAGAAATATACTTTATTTTTAATAACAAAACATATACTGCATATTACTTACACTTAGCTTGCTCAGAATATTCTTACGCGTAATATAAACTCTTTTGTTGTTAAAAATCCCTTTTTTTAGAGATGAAATATTTTAGGAAAAAATGAAAATCATGCGAAACTGCCTGTTAAATGCGTACCGTATGCATGCAACAGGCAGTTTGGCACCAAAGATACCTGTCAAGGTCATCAAAATACGAAAATTATTACAATTAATTACACCTTTACTTCCCTAGCATCTCCTGTTTGTTTAAGATGTAAATTACAGTTTGTATTAGGCTATTGAAATATTAATAAACCGATTATTACGTTCAAATACATTACTTACTGCAGAAGTTGCTTGTTTTCGAAAAAATTAAGTAAGTACTGCATTATGCGTACATAGGCAAGCAGCAACAGTTTGACACAGACGCTAAAATTTATCAAAATATCACAGTCAGCAAAATTTTTTTTTATTTTATTTTATTTTATTCAAATGAGAAAATTATGACAATTAATGACGTTTTTAATTTCTAAGTATTTCACTTTTGCTGAAATTTTAAGTTTTCGCTTGAATTGGACTTTTACACCATTAAAAACCTCT